AGGGAGCGGTGGGAGCATATTAGAATCTCCCAGGAAGAAGACTGCCAAGATGTAAGGCAAGCTGAAAAAAGCAAGCAGCAACACCACAGACAGTATGTTTCCATTTGTTTTTCAGGAAACACAAAACAAAATTACATTTCCAGATGTACATACATACCCAAAAGCATAGAGTGCTCGAACTGCTCAGCAGTAGGAAAAGTGGTGGGCAAAGCACACTGAGATGATAGAATGCTGTACGGGTATTAAAATGATGGTACAGACAATCACTGTAAATTAAAAATGACACAGAGAGGGCACAGACTGATTCCAACTGTGTAAAAATGTCTGCACGTTCAGATATAAGTAAAGAGATCTAAATAGTCAGGGTTCTCATTGCTATGGAGTTGATTTAAGGCAGACTCAAATACTACAAGGAAATGGGAAAATGTCTATATTTCAATAGTTAAAAAGCACAATAAAATCAGTTTTCTTTTTTTTAAAAAAAAAAAAAAGGAAGAGAAGAAAGAAACATCTGGAAGGATACTCACTAAACCGATGGCAGTGCTTGACTAGTTGACCTCTGGGGAGGGGACAGGAATAGTGGAGGGACTGTCTCTCTTTTTGTTTAATTTTTAAATTGAAACAAATCTTTTTTAAAAAATAATGAGAATGTATAGATGCTCTTACAAGTAAAAAGAAAGGTATGAAGCCTTGGGGACACATACACCCTCCTCCCCTCCCGCCCCTTCCCCACCCACCAGTAGAAAACCACTGCTTTAAAGTAAAAGTGAAGAGTTCCCACCTACCCACATCCCTTAACTTCCTACCTACATCTTCCTGCAAAGATCATAAAAATGTCAATATTTTCAAACAGCTCTTCTGTCTGTCCAGTCTGATTCTCCCCAGGGTGGTCATAAAGGGGATACCAGCCTTAGACTGGCCCAGGCAGCATTTCCCATGGTGTCCCCTCCTCAGAATCCCTGAGTGGTAGAAACGGTTAAGAGCTCAGCTGCTAACCGAAAGACTAGCAGTTCGAATCCGCCCAGGGGCACCTGGGAAGAAAGGCCTGGCGATCTCTTTCCAAAAGTTCACAGCCATTGAAAATCCTATGGAGCACAGTTTGACTCTGACACACATGAGTCAGAACTGACTCAATGACAATTGGTTTTTGGTCCCCTCATTGGCCTTCTTTCCAGGTCTAGCAGGTCATATCTTCCTGGCCTACCCCCCTCCTTCTTTGCTCCTTTCATTAAAATACCATTTGGCAAAGTCTCTGTAAATCCCTGTCAGTACATTTCCCATTAACAGCCTCAGCACAAGCCTCCTCTATTCCCAAATCGCAGCCTGAAAATAAATACTCAGTTCAGAGAGCAACTTGATGCATTTGAAGTTAACAAAGCCACAAAGCCTTCAACCTGACAGGCTGTTATGAGTAAAACCCTTTCCATGAGCAACATGTTGCTTCAGCTCCAAAATGGGGAAAAATAAATCCGAAAAGCTGATGAACAGAAATGGAGTCAGAGAACATAGCCCGTCATTAACCATTTCCTTCCCACCAACCCAAGAGTCTTGCTGCTCCCCACTCCTCCACCCCACTCCCCGTATCCTGAATATATATGTAACTAGGGTCAGCGGCTCTGACGTTCACGTGTTGGAACCTGGACTTGAACGGTCTTGGCCAAGGGCTCAAGGCAAAGCATTATTAGTCCAGAATCAATCAAACCACATTTCTGCCCTTACCAGACTTCTGGATTTGTTTATTTCTCCAGGTGAAACAACAAACAGACTGGCTCACTTCCTTTCACCGCCTTGAACTCTGAGCTTTGCCCCCACAGGACACATAGGAAGAGGTTTTCTGCAGGCAGGTCCCCCCTTTACTCCGGGGCTGTTCCCCAGGATGAGAGCCCCTCTGTCCAAGCTGTACCCAAAACCTTTCACTCTACCTACTTCACCCTGTTCCTGGAGCCATCTGCTGAACACGGGCTTTGTCACGGGTGGGATAAATTGGGAACTGAGAGGATCTCAGGCTAAATTCGTTCACAGAACTTTCCACAGCCTCCAAAGCCACTGGTACATAAATTCCAAGAGCAGAGAGCCTCCTGAAATCAAATTCCAGCCCTCTACCCTCACCCAAAAAAAAGACTCTATTCCCTGTAGGGGCTCAGACCATGCTGAACAGCCACATGGACTCAAGGTCAAAGCCCATGAACTCAGACGCCACAAAGCATCTCGGGTAGACTCAAGCTGCTGCCCTTTTCGGGTTTAGTAAGCAAATTAATAGCGAAACCATGGGAAACCTTTAGCCTGCCCAAGAGTGAAGGTCAGCCGACTGTTTCTAAGTACAACTCTCAGGGCGACATTTGTATTCAGTGACCGCAGCAATTATAAATAATTCTCATCTATCTGTAAGACCTTCTTAGACAAACTCCCCTTCTACATCAACAGCAAGAATTCGTTTCTTTTCAATGTCCTAGAACAGATGTTTCCTGTCAGGCTGATCTTTCTGCCAACAAGGGCAAAGGAGTGAGGTTCACGGCTATTAGATCCCTTTCTGGACCCTTTCCTTCCCTCCCTAGACACGCACACCGTGCCCCCAAACCATTTCTGCTTTCTGTGCAGTCTATCTGGGACCTTCCCCTGGGATCGTCTCTGTATTCAAAGCATATATAAGAACAAACATGAACCAAAAGGTTTAAAAAAAAAAAAGTGCTGATACACAGTACAAATTGGCCATTTATTATTTACACTGCCCAGAGAAAGCCCCTACATGCAGACAGCTGATCAAATACACCTGAGCAGCACGCCAGTCCCAGTGGATAATGACCCACAGTGATTGCAAAGAGCTCTCTCCAAGGTACTGTCTTAGAAGCCAGTTGGGCCCGGGTGGGAACAGCAGAATAAGACCCAGCTGTGCAGACCTACTTAGCCGGCCCTGTCCACTGTTCAGGAGTTAAGACTACTGGCCACATGCTCTTCTTTCCAGGGTGCATAGAATACACCCCAACAGCAAGTTCACACATAACCAGGGTGGATTTGAGGGCAGAATATGGCAGACCACATGAGGACCCCTCAAACCTATGAACATGCAGATAAACAGGACATTGTCTTAGGCATCTAGTGCTGCTGTAACAGAATACCACAAGTGGATCGCTTCAACAAGGAGAAGTTCATTCTCTCACAGTCCAGTAGGCTTCAAGTCCAAATTCAGGGTGTCAGCTCCAGGGAAAGTCTCTGTCTTCTCTGTTGGCTCTGGAGGAAGGTCCTTGTCGTCAATCTTCCCCTGGATTAGGAGCTTCTCCAGCAGCAACCCTGGATCCAAAGGACATGCTCTGCTCCAGGTGCTTCTTTCTTGGTGGTATGAGGTCCCCCCTCTCTGCCTGCTTCCCTTTCATCTCTTGTAAAATAAAAGGTGGTGGAAGTCACACTCCAGGGAAACTCTCTTTACACTGGATTAGGGATGTGACCTTAGTAAGGATGTTACATCCCACCCTAATCCTCTTTAACATAAAATTACAATCACAAAATGGAGGACAACCACACAATACTGGGAATCATGGCCTAACCAAGTTGACATATTTTGGGAGACACAATTCAATCCATGACGGACATCAAGGAAGTCAAGTGTCCAGGGGCAGAAAGACAAATGGCCATTCAAGTGTCTGATGACACATGGTCTTTCCTCTCAGATAATATCATGGGTCTCCATCCACGCAACACATCCAGCTGTGTGGTCCGGAGGATAAGCCTTCTGTATTAGGGGTAATCACTCTCTGAATTTCATTTGGTGTTTCAGGCTGGGGCAGCCCACACCAAGGGTCTGGGCCCAGATCTCATTAGCCCCAGGGCCCAGAGGCCAAGTTCCCAGGTAATTTAAGGCAAGAAAGAAGTCAGGTAGACCAGAAAGACAACTTCAGCCCGCCTCCCTGGGTACATGTCCCATTGGCTCCAGAGAGCCTAACCTAATTCTACCTTACCATGACCCAACAGGAGAAATGGCCTTGGGCCCCACTCTCCCGCGTATGTCCTTCTGTGCTTCCTCCCACTCTGGGTGAGCAGAGAATTCAAGTGCCGGGTTGGGTTGTCACAGGATCTTCTGCCCATCTCTAGGACTTATAGGCACACAACGCTGGCCATGGCATGACTGCTTATCCTGGGTTCTTATTGGCATTGACTCCACTCCTCTACTGATAACAGGGTTTTAGCCCATGGCATTCAGTTACTGTCACATGGCCTGGCCTTGGCTCTGCTGCTGTTCCCAATGTGCTTTCCTATAAGCAAGAACAAGTTCGTTCCCTGAACCCAGCCCACCAGGTCTATGTCAGCAAATAGCCTAAAATTTCTGGCTCTCCCTAATTCTGGGGCCATTTTGTTTTATTTTGTCCTTGTACTCTGAAGCTCCTCAGCATCTTCTAATTCAATTTCTACTCTTCCCTTAGAATGATAAAGTAGGATGGGGTAATAGGAGTTATTCTCAAATTATAGGAAGGAAAACTAGAGTTAAGGGACACACAACCAGTAAAGGACAGATCTAAGCTGAAACTCAGCCCAGTCTTCCCCCCTCACACTCCTAGGAGTCTTTGTTGATGTGGTGCTTTGTCAGTGGCCTTAGGCTATATTTGGGTGTGTTGTCATTTCCCTGACTACACCATAAGTTCATTAAAGGTCAGGATCATGATCACGGTCCCTCATTTCTCCATTTCTAGGCCCACTTGTACATATGGTGTCACACAGCACAACGTCAGCTGTATTTATATAGAAATCTGACATTCAAAATCTGAACTTACCAAAATGTAAATGAGGGTATGCCTAGTCATATTACCAAGAGATTCTTTTCTTTAAGGAAGATACCACGATTCAATTCTGCTAAGTAAAAGCCCTCAAATGGCTTGAAATATCTGTTTAGACATCAATGGCTACTTAATAGACACATGAAGAGGTGTATGATGTTTGAACAGAAACAAATCTATTGCACAGAGCTACAAAGATCCTGACACCAGAGTGCACAGGAATGCAGTACTCACCAGGTGGGGCATCAGCAAGTCAGCCAAGTAGACAAAAGCAGCTCCGAGAGTGAAGCCAACAGCCACAGGAAAGAAGGCAAAGGCACCAAAGCCTCCAGAGGACATGGCCATCTCAACTGCTGGAGCCAGCAGGGACCAATAGGAAGCTGCTAACATGACCTGCAAAAGCACAATGAGAACGTGCAATGGAATATGATTCAGCCATAAAAAGGAATGAAGTACTGATGCGTGCTACAACATGAGTGAACCTTGAAAACATTACGCTAAGTCAAAGAAGCCAGACAGAAAAGGACAAATATTGTATGATTCCATTTCTATGCACATCTATAGAGACAGAAAGCAGATTCATCGTTGCTAGGGGCTGAGGGGCTGAAGGAATGGAGAGTGATTGCTTAATGGGTATGGGGCTTCCTTTTGGGGTGATGAGAATGTTGTGGAACTAGGAAGAGGTGGTGGTTACACAACATTGTGAATGTGCTAAATGTCACTGAATATTGTATACTTTAAAATGGTTCAAAGGATGAAGTCTTCGTTGTGTGTATTTACCACAATTTAAAGAAAGAAAAAAAAAGCAACAATCATTAATCCAATCACAGAAAGCCTTCCAAGCAGGTACTTCAGTTGCTTTCTATGGCATACACTGAACCCCACAATTTCACG